ACAGGGAGGGGCCGTCGCCATCAGCCTCACTGCCCGCACCTGGGGCTCCTCCAGCCCCACAGCCCACAGCTGGAGCCTAGCAGGAACAGGGGGCCATCGACCGACCCCCACAGTATGTCACCTCCTCCTCTGGGCTCCATCACGGCCCCTCACCCGGTGCAAAGGAAATGCAAACGCAGCCGTGAGGGCAAAGGAGACGGCGAGTGTTTATTCGGCCATGCACATAACAAGTCCCGGGAGCAAGTCTGCTCTGGGGCTTTGAGCCTCCGATGCACATTTCACACCTCTTGGCTCCTTGCCACCTCACCGGTCTGGCACGGTGCGTCGTGCCTGCACAGCGTCAAACTGAGACCTCGGATCAGAGCACAGAACTGAATGCTGGGTGGCACAGCGGAAAGTTTTTGTCATGATCTTGTCCGCCTGCAGAGCCCAGCACTGAATATCAGGTGGCAGCTGGCGGGCAGCCAACATGCGCGTGTGTGTCTCAGCTGGCCGTCCCCGCCGGTAGGCATCCCCCGACGCTTGCTGTGCTGCCGTGGCACGTTCCACCTGAGCCCCCGGCTGCGGGGTTGCCTTTGTAGCCGTAGAGCGGGCTCAGAGCTAGGCCGCCTGCCGGGAAAGTGAGGGCACGTACCGCTCCCTGCTCCTGCTTGGTCAGTCCCGTGTGATCCCGGAGCTGGGGGACGGTTTGCTCCCACCCGGTGTCCAATTCGGGGCCTGACTCGCCCCCTGACGCGACCTGCTGGTGGCAGCACCGGTGACCCCTTGGTCACACGTAGCTCTGCAGTTGCTAGGGGCCCCTTGGTGTCCTCCTGGGGCCACGCAAAGCTGGCTACGTTCTTCCTCCTTGCCCTCCTGTATCTCTGGGTACGCTGTTGTGTCATTTTGCTTGTAAGAGTTTGCTTTCCTCCTCCTTCATCCTTACTCTCTTCCAGAGCAAATACACTCCTGGAGGAGTAATAGCGTTATGAGAGATGCGTGCTGCAGCCGTGTCTCAGGAAGACATCTTTCTGCTTTGTGCAGTAGGAACAGAGTTGCCATAGGGTTCCCAGAAGTACTTTGACAATTATTTTTGTCACAGTGGGCATCGCAGAAAACCACCATACGACTTGCAAGCTCTCATATAATACATTTAGAACGTGAAGATTCTGCTTAGCGCCAAGTCGGGTCTACAGGAAAGTCTCGGGAGGCCACGACTAAATCTACTCTGCAGCTATAGGAGCAGCCCCGAACTGGGAAAACTGAAAATAGCTTAGGACCATCCTCCAGAATGCACAGCACAGAATACTTACATGTCTGACAGTTGCATAACATGCGTGGAACAGCCTTTCACGTAACTATTTGGAAAAGCAGATACAGGGTACTTCTGCCCATTGTTTCTGTGTCTATTAGAAATGCACTCTGAGCTGACTGACTTGCAAGAATGCTTGAGACCCTAAGTGGATGTAATTTTATTTTATACTAATTCTGGCTGTTCTGAATAGTGGGGAGAGTCATCATCCATCGAGACTTCATGCCGTCATCTAAATATCCCATACTAATACATTTAATAAATGAAAATACAGATTTCAGCACGTATATAATGTTGAAATTCATGTTGAAAACGAACAAGAACAACAAGAAGCAAATCCTACCCCTGTGCAAAATACCATCTTCCAGTTTCAGACCGTAGGCAGGAGATCAAAAGCAAAAAACAGCGATTTATGCAAGCCAAGCCATCCCTGGCTTGGATATATCACTTTACCTCTCCGTTTTAGTCATCGAGGCATGCATTGCCGATTGATATGGCCACAGCAACCCCTCTTAAATTTGACTGAATTCTGTCCATGTAACAAGAGCAGAATTTGATCCTTCTGTTGGGGAGTGCTCTGCTAGTGATAAGCACCCTATATGCTGAGCTACTGAACATCGCGTTTTACAAAATAGCAAGTTCTGATTGTGCTTGCTCACTACCAACTGGAAAAAAAAAGACCTCACAGATTGAGATGGACAGCAGAACAGCTGAATAGTAATGCGATTATTCTGAAATGTAGAACCCCAGGAAATCTAAGGAAGTCAAAGTCTAGTTCTTGCCATTTCCTCATGATCAGTAAGGCAAATAGTAGTTTCAGTTATGCAAGATTTGTTTTAAAACCAGGAGAGCATTTTTCTCTCTTGTTCAAGGCCAGTCACTTAGAAAAAGCTGTATGACACTTTAAAGATACTGCATACCAAAATACCAACACTTCTGTGTAAATCTTCACTGACATCTTTTTGGTCATTTCTACACATAAGGTTGCCCTATTCCAGGGATGATCTAAAATATTCATGCAGCAATTGAAAGTAAATCACCATTATTAGCAGAAGCACTTTGAGAGGATGCTCCATTATGCTCAAAAACGAGAAAGCCCTCTCTCGGCTGCACACTGAACATGTTACAGACCTATGCTTCCTTTTCTTTCAGTATCTTAATATATTTATGTTAAAACAGAGTTCTACCCTGCAATAAATTGCATAATATTATAAATGTCAAACCTACAAAATTATTGAGAATCATACATAAACGGAGAAGGCAAATGTAACAAAAAAAAAAAAAGCAGTATCAAAGACCCTCATCATTCATTAGTAAAACTCCGAGATGTGTACATACTATTGTCCATTCCTGCAACGACTGAGCATTATCTAGCACTTTGCTTTTATTTACTTACGAGGAGTCTCCAAACTAAAATTTCATTAAGTTGAGGTATGAAACATACCACTAAGTTGAGCTACCGACCTCAAGTTCTCTTCACAGTGAGTGGTGATACGGTTATTAAAATTCAACGTGATCCACCTGATCGAATGCTGGGATCTAATTTTGGACAGGATAAATGATTCTCGTGTTTATGAGAGCTTGTGCGAGTCAAATGACACAAATGGCTATCGCAAACCACTTCCCTTACCTGAATGACAATGAACGAGATTCTGGGAGCACGGAGCTGGCATGCCGCAATCATTGAGAAAGAAGGATGCATGCCACTAGGCTGCACAGGAAGGCCACCTTCCAATGGGGTCACTGAGAGAACTGGACTACAACCGAGCAGCGCCACAGATTCTTCCAGTGTTCTGCTGTACTGTACATCAGGAACAGCCCAAGATCTGAGCTGCACAAAATTGTGTTTCAGCTGGTTTTACACCCTTTTTTGGCTTGATCTCTGAACATTTCACTCTGCAACTAAGGATCTGGACCTTGCTTTGTGAAAAAGCATCTGCATATATGGAAGACAATGTAGATTTGCAACGAGCATGAGATAAACATCATTAGGGCAGCAATCTCTTTGGCACAACACTCTAACCTTACTCCACTCAAAGTCCTATTATGCTACCTAAGTTGGATCTGTACAGAACAATTATACAAAAAGGATCGTTATTCCTGAAAGTGGCAAAACCAAATTATGACTTTACTGTAAGACAACTCTTTCAGGTCAGCAGTCTCGAATGCAGTTTATCAGCAACAACTCCTGTTGCTTCTGCTCTTAAGAGAAGCAATCAGAGTTCATTTTTCGAAGTTTGGCAGGAAAAACATCTTCCAATTTCATCTCTAGAGCGCACATACTTGGAGGGTTCTTCTGTAACTCGAGATCGCCGGTAGACTCAGTCAAAGCCTCGGTGTTTATTTTTAAGGCTTTCAGCTGTATCCTGTCATCACTGTCTTCACCGTCAGAGATGGGACTTATTTCTTGAATTTTCAAGAGATCGCTGGTACTGCAAGTCTTCTCTGTGTTACTGGAACTCATTCTCAGAGCTCTTCTTGGAAGGTCTTCCATTCTCGAGCTAATCTTCTGGAGTTTAAAAGGGAGCTTGTTCTTCTCTCCTGCAACATCAATACAGTCAAGTGAACAAACCTGTTCTCTTCTGGTTTTGTCATTATCGACGGGACTATTCAAAGGAGGTGACAGGGACAGGTTTTCTTCTTGCTCTTTAACACTGTAAGGAGGAGTGGGGACTTCAAACGTAGCATGGAACTGAGAATAATCGACACGGAAAAAGCCATCTTCTAGGGACATTACTGGGAGGAATCTGTGACCCCAGAGAACTTCATCTTCTGTATACGAGGTCCTAGCTTGACACGTCATTCCTATGCAAATAGAGACAAGAGCATGACATTCTAATGTGAGCAAGTAGACCGGCATATGGAACAAAAAATACAAGGTAAGGCTGACAGATAAAAATCAATTGGAGCCTGTAAGCTAACAAATTTATACATTATAAAATGGAGTGATTGTTGCTAGTCAATCTCCTGACAGTCAATGGAGTGCCTCCAATTGATTGACTAGATTTTTATGCAAATATTGGATTAAATATTGCAGACTCATACCAAGCAAACAGCTTTTGATAAAAGCAAAACATAAAATTAAGACAGTATTAGCTTGCTAGCAACAACAATCTTATAGTTTGTATGTAATACTGTTTCTTGGAAGTTACCTTGGGAGAAAGAACTGTTGCTTGGCAGAGGCTTACAGAATTCTCTGGCAAAGATCGTGCTGGGGAGAGCCAAAGCTAAATGAAAAATTTAATCTTCCATTCCTTCTATAGGCTAGGCTACCTTTTCTCCAAATAGCATGTCAAGACAAAAGCTGTGCAGAGACACTGCAGCTGTCTTCCATGCTAAGACATAGGTACCGCTGTAAAGCTTGTAGAAGAATTTGTGCCGCTTAGTGCAAACATGCATCATTGGCAGTATTTACACGTGTGAATTGACAGCTAAAATGTGTTCTAACCAAGCCAACAAATCTGTTACAATCTCAGCACAACCGTGCTGATTATAATTAATACAAATATCCCAGGTGAGTAGAACTTTAAGACTTCCTGTCATGGTACTCTTCAGAGGCAGAATTAGCAGTCAGTAAGCCCAAACTCTGATTTGCTCTCCGGTTACTGCTACATTAATTCTCAGACAAGCGTAAAATGTTTCCCTTGCGATATCCAGTTAGGTAATTTCATTAAGTGCGGTTATGAATGCATGCTTATCTAAGATACATGGTTCAGTTGAGGGATGAGAAGAGGCTTCTGTGGGGATCTAAAGACTCCCACACTCGACGTGAAAGAGTGTTCTGCCCCGGTGGATTGTGCATTTGTTTAGGGCTCAGCCCAGCATGTGGATAGTAATCAGTCAGTTCTGTTTCCTGTCCGGCATGAGATGACTGCACTTGGCTGCGTCAAAAGGAGATTACTGTTTCTAAGGCAGGAACCGGGCAACCGGTAATCTTGTTGAAAGAAGGATGAAAATGCTCCTTGATTAACCAAAGTTTAACAAATCCTTAAAAGAAGGGAGAGGAAGATCAGAATATCAATGAACCTACTGAATTATTTGGACTTTAACAGTACACATGGATCCCCAACGCAGAGCTTCTTATGTAACCGCAGTGCATTGTCACAGGATTCGTAAAAGAATTAAGTCCTCAAAAGACAAGGCCACAAAGTCAGCTGCCATCTGGACAATGCCATATCAGAATTTGAAAAAAAAAAAAAAAAAGTTAAAAAACCCGAAAGCCCGGCTCACGTTTGCCGATAACCACGTGTTCCTACAATCTTTGCAACTATGTGGTCTGTATTTGTACTGTAAAACTGGATTTGTTATTTCGCATTCAATTTAATGAAAGCTAGGCTGAAAGTGATTTTGCAGCACTGCCAACTTTTAAAGTTCAACGTTCTTTCAGAGTGGTGGTCCTTAAAACAGGAGTCTCATAAGGGTGTTGTACTCCTCTACATGCCATACTCAGAGTGGCAGGGTGCATCTCTTCTTGGATGTATTGGCCACTTTGGGCATCGGTAATGCAGAGCCCTATGAGGAAGGGAAGTCTCCTATTGGCTGTTAAAGGCCACTGAAGCTCTGTAGCATATGGCAGGATATTCTGGAGCATCCAGGATTAGCATCCTGAAAGGATTAACAGCTGCCTTGCTAAAAATATCAGGACTGAAAACACACGCTAAAAATTAGAGCACGCATATTATTCTAAAACTTACCGGTAGTCTCAACGATTCCTTCAAGGATAACAACTATTTCAAATTGCTCGCTTCTTAGTGATCTTTGTGAGAGACAAAAAAAGGGGCTCTTTGAGTTAATTTCATGACAGATAGTTAATGGGGAAACTAAAAACAGCTGGTCAGCTCCAGTTCCAAATCCAACATCCAGTTCACACTGGTCTAGCGGCAGAAATTCTCCCTCCGGTGTCTGTCGGGACTAAAGATGAAAAGATGATTTAGTAATCACCGTGTGAGGCAAAACATGAAAAGCAATGCAATGAAGTTTAAACCTGCCTCTTTCATGACATTATCATCTACATATTAGGTCTGGGGTCTTCATAACGGAGATATAAGTAATGCTAAATACTATAAGGCTACTATATATGACCAATTTTGATTTTTCTTATCATGCCACTAGATCTCATCATCATCTACAAACTTTACTATGAGAGAGAGAGAGAGAGAGAGAGAGAGAGAGGTATTTTGACAAAGACATCAGGTACCACACTACAGGCCTTATAACGGATGTTCGCCATGAACATCCTGCGGCAAAAGTTCCCGTTAATGAAAACAAAATCTACAAGCCAGGCACATTTTAATCCATTGCCTGAATTCATGTTTCGTCATTTTTATACGTCACTAATTTTTGTTTGGCAGACACTGTGATGTGCTAACTTAAAGGTAAGCATCATAGTAATTGTACAGTAGGTCTGGTAAGTGACATTTCCACAAAACCATCTGAATCGATATTAATGATGCTATCATCCCTTGCCAATTTGCATGTACCACCTACTGTATGTTGATCTTAATAATGAACTTATGATCATTATTAAGCTAAGTGCCCCGTTTTTATTCATGTCATTTCACGGGTCCAATAAAAATACCGATATGATAGCTTCCCCCCACCCCGTAGTGTTCCCCACAAATTTTCCTGGTATTCAAAGTATAACTAAAAATTGCATCAGTTGGCCAGGCAGCTCCTCAGCTGATTGCTTTAAAGGTCTCTGGTAGAAACTGCCCATTAAAATTAAAAGCTTTGCAGAGCCTATTTAAAATCCTATTTAAAATCCTTTCTGCTTATTGCTTGATTAGAAAGCACTTAACTCTTTAAGAAGCCGACTATTGATTATAAATGATAGATTATTCCGTAGTTACTAAATAGTTTTAACTGTGTTGCATTGGTATTGACAAATGTATTGGCTCCATTGCTTGGAAACTCCATCCGTTAGTCCTGAGAGCGAGCTGAAGCTAGCAGTTTTGCTGTTGACTTAGATCTGATTGGTATTCTTTTAAGAAAGTTTCTGTCTTTAAAAAAAATCCCTAAGCAACTAGTATACCTTCAGATTGTCTCTCCGCTTCACTTGTATGTTAAAAATGCTGAATTTTTAACTGCCTGGTATTTACTGGTGATTACATAACCAGTTAGGTAGCTGGTAGAGTACAGCTCCTTATTAAATACAATGCATTATTTCATTTACATGCTATGTATCCGTTTTTCTGCTGAGGGGAAAAAAAAAATCTTCCCATCTAAATAACCAAGTTTTCCCTTACACAAGACTCAGTTTCACCGCTACCGATGAGGACAGGGAAAATATCAGCTGATTGCTTGTAAAAGCATTCTCACGGATTATTTGTGCTTTGAAAGGTAAAAGACAGTGCTATAAAATAAAAGCGATCAAAACCACTACTACGTAGCAATCGTGACAGTCTCAGTTGTATGCAAAGGTGTAATCAAACTACTGCAAAAACATCCTTTCTTTTTTCCTGAGGGAACCTGCAGAACTAAGCTGCAGGCTACGCCACTGCTTTTGTTGCCTGGCTACTGTTCTTTCAGCGGGTCCACAAATTGGCTGGCAACATACGATCTTTGCTCCAAGGTAACAAGGCTCAATGTGAGCTGTATGAACCAACATCTAAACCTCAAATTTTCCCAAAGTTTTATCAAATGCAATTACCTAGACAAAGATGTGCATATTTGCACAAACTGCTGCCTGAATGACTTAAGAACTGTTTCATCTACAAACCATTTTTCTCTGTGGAAGAGTCTTCGATCAAATCCACTCAATAGTAAACAAATCCAGCGAGGATGATTAGAGGTAACAGATCTGGGAGAAAGCAAAAGGTTGTGTTTGAGGTATTTGGTATCTTACATACAGGACTGATTTATGCAGGGGATTGAGAATTTTTGAAAGAAACTAATTTGTTACATAAAAAAAATTAACCTGAATGAAGATAGCTTAATAGCCCTAATATGTTAAGACTTCTAGCCAGCGACCTTTGTTGCATATATATAGCTTTACTCAGAGGACTATAAACTGTCAGCAGTAAGTTTGGAAGGAACACTTGTGATTCTTTACTTTGACCACCTGCATAACACAGAGCCAAATAAATTCCGCAGATTAATACATGCTTGAACAAGGGCACAATTACTTAGAAATGCCCCAGCTTTCATTTTAAATGTGGCCAGAGATGGAGAATCCAAAGGTCTAGATGCGTTGCTCTGAAGGTTAATTGCCTCGCAGCTAAGAAAAAAAAGACTCCTTCTGTGTCCGGATTTTTCCACCTTTAACTTTCTGCCACTGGATCTTTGCTTTGTTTCTTATTACTTGGCAGACTCCATTGCATCATCACTTGGTCTGTTTTTGTGTCTGACCAAGTATTTTATGCCCTTCGAGTCTTCGCTCCTATCCTTTACTCATTCTCAGCGCTTTTCTAAACCCTGTTGTTTACGCACGTCCTTCTTTAACCAGACACAATGCAGTTTTATTATTATTAACCCTCTTTCAGTTCACTCGTTTAAAGAACTCACATAATTATGCTTTGATACCCAAGTAGACTAATTAAGCATTGGAGTAGAAAATGCGGGATGCAAAAGACAGACGACCATTGAGCTTAATATTGGAGTACGTTGTAGAGAAACTCAGGAATCTAGAAAATGCTAAACTGGTACGTGCTAATTTGCCATACAGTACTACGGTATTTTCAGTTCTGGTATTTGAAGGGAAAAACCCTGATCTCACCTATCTGTGCTTCTGCCCCATCATTAAACTAGCAGCTTGCAAGAATATTTATTATATATTACATTACTGAAATAATATGAACTTGTTACTTTGACACAGCTGTTAAAGAATTGCATGGTTTTTTGGTAGTGACGCTATACCTGGAGCTCTAGCTTAGATAATTCCCAGGATGACTGCTACTTTTTAATATAGTCTAGTTGCCCCAAGCTGTAAATATGACCTGAGTGAGCTGAGCTTGTTCAGACCGGAGAAGAGAAGGCGTAGAGGGGGATCTAACAGCAACCTTTCAAAACCTAAGAGGAAGGTAATCAAGAAGATGGAGCCAGGCTCTTCACAGCAGTGCACAGCAGAAGCAAGAGACAACAGGCGTAAGCTGAAACAAGAGAAGTTCAGACTGGATTGAAGAAAAACTTTTCCATCATGAGGACAGTTAAGCAGTGGAAGAGCTTGCCCAGCAAAACTGTGCAGTCTTTGTCCTTACAGGTTTCCAAAACCAGATTGGAAAAAGCCCAGAGCAACCTGGTCTGACCTCCTAGCTCCCCACGCTTTGAGCAGGAGGTTGGACTAGAGACCTCCCGAGGTCCCTTCCAATCCAAATGATTCTGTGATATTAAAAAACATATTGTTTCCACTTTCTGCACGTGCCCTGCTTATCGAGTTATTGAGATCACAATATAATGGGTCTTCTTACTTATTTTCAATGCCTGTGATCTGCCATCTGCAAACTTTCTGTTACAATTTTGTTTGCTTGAATTTGAATTAGATACAGCTCAAAGAATAAGTGCCTGCTGGTCATAAGCCAAAGCGCACTGGCTCTATGGCTACTGTGCTTCACAATTCTATTTTTAAAACTATTGCTTAGCACATGTTGAAAACAGGCTATGATGATTTTACATTCCTCAGCTTTCTGAATCAAAATGTGCTACACTACTAGCTGAAACACTTTACAGACCACTTTACACACCAACCCTAGCATGTTTATCAGTGACATATGTAGTCCCATCAACAGAAGGTAAATGTAGGTATCGCAACTAATTTAAAAAAAATGAATACTGATCGCCATATGGTAGATGCTGGTTGCTGCTGCTATCTCCAGATCACTCAGGTGTACTAGTGAGGTCCAGGAATTAACAGGCAGAAAAATACAGTTCACTGTGACGCTGAAAAGGCCAGGACCTGGAACTGCACATTTTCAGCAGCTAGTTCCAACCAAGTTCTTTCTATTTCTTGCCCCAGGAGTTTGCTTCTTCCTGCTTCTAGAGCACTCAATGTAAATTAGAAAGGCTCGGGTTTCTGGAAAAGTTTTTGCTGAAACATGCACACTTAGTCTTGTAACTCTGTTTTCCAAACTCCCCACAACTCAGTCCAAAAAGGGCCCCAGATTTTTCCATGACATCACTATGCCGTGCTGCTGGGCAGTCCCCTGGACAAAAAAAAAAAAAAAGCCAGCACAGTGTGGTGGCACCACTGTAATCTAGTGAATATTCTAGGGCATATATCACACTTTCAGTAAATGCCATTCAGACAGACTTAGATTGGTGTACTTTCTTTACAAATGTAAATCCTCGGGGCTCCACTGAAACACTATGTTCACTACTAAATATGGCTCCTATCTCAAGTACAAAAGTGTGATAAGACATATTTCTTCACATTCTTTCACTGTGACACAAGTAAAAAAAATTCTAGCTATCTAGTTGGGTGCAGGAGAAATGTAGCAAGATCAGCTGTCAACAGCACTGCATGAAGCACAGCGGAAAGAGCACAAACCACAAAAAGGCAGAACTCGCTAAAGATAAATGGTAAGCGAGTTCTGGCACATTCACCATCAGTTTACAGGACACTCAAAGCTACTTCAAAGCAGCTGACGTAAATTCACACGCTGCCGGAACAGCCGCTATGACTGCTGGAACGGTGTGTCCAGTTCAAGGGGCACCTCAACGAACTGAGGAGGATTTACAGAAAGACATGGGAACTAATACCACGCCTTGTAATGAGGGCTGAGGGGGCAACTAGTACACAAACATTCACTTTTAAACTTTCCTGTGTCCATTGCTTATATTTGCCAAAGGTCGCAAAGCAGCTTGAAGACAAGTCATGGGCATGATGATCGTTCGAAAGAAATCAAGTATTACTCACTGATTCATTGTCTTGTCTATGAAACAGCTACCATAAGACGAATCGGTCAAGCAGGTCCATCAAATGTCCTTGTGTTTTCTGTCCCAATCATCTGCATACCAGCATTGTGTAGCAATAGAATTATCAGCAGAAAGCGCACCAGGTTGTGTGTTCAGTGTCTTATTTCAAAAGAAGTTTATAGCAAATTACTGTCACTGTAAAAACACAACTGCGACACCACTTTTATTCCACTTTGACTTGCATTCTGTCTTGGATGATGGACAGAATTAAATACTTTAGAGGAGGCTTTCTGCTAATTTTTAATAGTTAGAGATCAACAAAAATCATGGCTTTCCAATTCCTACAAAAATTGCTCCATTGTAACTCCTGACAGCTTGTTCCCATATATATATCCAACCTCTTTTTGAATCTTAGCAGATTCTCCATTTTAAATGGTGTTCTGCGGCAAGAAAAATTAACAGCTCGGTCAAGCGTTCTGCACGGAACAGAAGGAAAACAGCCTTTCACATTTACCATTGTCCTGTCACCTACTGTATCATGCCTATTTCTGCAGATTATTAAAATGGCCAAACAATTGCTCCAAAGAGAGGATTACCATGGAGAATATAGGACATTTGCGACATTCAAATATGATATTCTGAAATTAACGTCATCACTGGGATGCAGCTTCTGATGCTCCCCATCAAGCGTGCTCCCGTGACAAGACGTAGCTGCTATGTTGCTTCACCTCGGCATGCCGCACAGTGTTTTCTTTCCATTCTACTGCCCGATGTCTCTTCCGGACTTCAGTGCCTGCCAAACTCTACTGTCTCCAGAGTATTTCTTTATTTTTTTGGTTATGATCTCCTTTGAATTCCAGTTTTCTGGCATTCTGAATTACGCTGACCATTGTCAGTGATTAATAAATAGATATTGGTGACAATCAAAATAGATATTGGTGACAATCAATGGGCCTTTCCACTAAAGCACCTGCACAATCCCTCTGAAATGCTGGGAGGCTACTGGCTGGAACTGTGGGGCAAGTTAAAGCTGTGCAAGTTTCTCCAAGGGGAAGAGGAGGTCAAGGTTGATCTTTGTCCTCATTTAATGCCACCACAAAACAGGTATAATCAATTTCTTATTCCCAGCCGTCACCTGCTAAGGGGCATGCCTTAGTATCCCTCCCTGCAGCTATCCTGTATCCCGACACATCCACTTTTCCTGACCAAGCTGGCTTCCTGCCAGCCTCAGAATCCACTGGAATGCCCCTGGGAGCTCTCTGATGAGACTGCCTTTTCCCTTATGCCTGCTTGGTTCTTTCATGGCTCCCACTATGGGCAGCCACAGCAAATTTTTTCCGAAGCCCTTCACACCACCCCAGCCATGTCCTCTCGCTCACATAACAAGGGACAGGGCAGCTGCCCCTGGGGCAAGGCACAGCCCACCAGCAGACAGCAGCAGGGGCTGCACAGGGGAAGCCCCATGCTACCTGCAGTATGGGCACGTGGTTGCACTTGGCCTGCACTGTGCCCACGTTGCCCACTGCAATGCGGGCACCCCATCCCGCCCGCTGTCACACCAGGCCTCACCTTGATCAGCTTGCAGCGGATCTGGGCAGACACCATGTGGCTGTTGCGGAGGTTGCCAACACGGAACATGAGGCAGAGCTTGCCATCCCGCTGCGAGACGACTGCAGCACGGCTGAACATGAGGGTCTCAGCTCGCTTCTTGGGCTGGGACATCTTGATGAACATGCAGCCGATGAGGAACGCATCGACGATGGAGCCCAGCAGTGACTGGAAGAGGAAGAGCACGATGCCCTCAGGGCAGCGCTCGGTAATGTAGCGGTGCCCGTAGCCAATGGTGGCCTCGGTCTCTATGAAGAAGAGGAAGGCGGAGGGGAAGTTGTACACATTGGCCACACATGGACTGTAGGTGTCATCATGCACCTGGTGCAGGTCACCTCGCAGGTAGGCGATGCCCCACCACATTGAGGCCATGACCAGCCAGGCGACTGTGTAGGTCAGCAGGAATATGAGCAGGTTCCAGCGCCACTTGAGGTCCACCAGCGTGGTGAAGAGGTCGGAGAGGTAGCGGCTGCTCTCGCCACCCAGGTTCCCGTGCTGTACGTTGCAGCGGCCGTTCTTGTCCACGAAGCGTTGGCGCTCTCTGCGGGTGCCGCTGCGAGCTGGGCCCACCACCTGGTACTCGTCCCCAAACTTCCGGCGCACAGCAGACATGCTGCCGGCTGCCGAGGCCCCCCGTGGGCGCGGTGAGGATGCGGCGGGGCGGGGGGGTTCGGCGGCACCCCGC